CCCCGGTGGTTAGCCCCGCCCCCTCCCACCGCCTCGGCGCTTAGCCCCGCCCCTCTCTCCCGCCCCTGGCCACGGCGCCCGTCGCCTGTGGTGCGGTGGCGGGATCCCACTGAGCCCCCTCAGCGCCGGGCCCCCTCAGAGCGCCCGGTCACCGGGCTTCTACACGCGTGCGGGGGCTGAGCGTGGCCTCTACAGCCCCCGTGATAAGCAGTTGTGCAGTCCTGCGCGTGGCCGCGCCGCCGCTGCGCTTCCCTGCGCGCCTTCCCTGCTATGGCGCGGGGCTGGGCCTCAGGTGATTTCTAAGAACAATTTCAGATGCGTGTCGTGAGGAGGAAGGGTCAGCGGAGCGAGGCGCTCGCACCGTTAGCGTTCTGATGCAATTACGTCGGTGCGCTGCGGATGAGGTAGCATGCCGGCCGCTGTTAACGCAGCACAGTGTGAAGGCCGGAGTAGCATGGGCAGCCAGGGATGATGTCTGGCACGAGTGTTGCCCACATCACACCTAAAGGCCAAAAGTCGCGTGCTGGAGAAATATGGCCTCAGCCCTGGGTAAGCTGAGTTCACGCTCCCCTCCACTGTGGTGTTTTATAGCTAGAAAACACAGGGACAAGGGTCACTCAGCATGACACAAGAGATGGATGTGTGGTTACACAGGTAAGGCAAATTTTTTTGGAACAGAATTCTGGTTCTGACGTCCAAGCACGTGTCATCGGCTGTTGCATTTCCTTCCTGTCTGCAGGCTGCAGTGCAGTACGGCGCTCCAGATCCACCGGCTGATGTGCTCCCTCAGGTCCTATAATGGAAGGCGGTATCTTGAACACTGGGGGTTTGCGTGATGCCCCTCTGAAGCACAGCTGATGGGACACTATGCATCACTAAGTTCATAGCATGTTTCTCCAGGTAACTCAAGGAAATGTTGCATAAGATTTTCTTGAACGGTGCGTTCAAAATTTGAAAGCTATGTGGGGAGTGGCTTTTCTGGATTTTTCTGCCTGCAAGACTGAGGGACAGTCTATGTCTGTTGTTCTGCAGGTGTTCTCTAGTTAATCAATGCGCTACACGTGACCAGTTGTGAAATAGGTAAATTAAGACAACGTGTGAATTATCTTCCTGATTTAGGAGTGCAGAGAAGAACCTAAGTGCCCATCCTCAAGGTAATGATTCTTTTTAATTTAAAACGGGTTTCTTTGAATTCATGTTTCAATGAACAAAAAGTGTTCTTAACCTCAGAAAACTGGTCTTGCACAGGCTGGGAAGTAGATACATAGAAGCTGTCTGCAAAATAACAAATTTTAATAAAGAAATTAAAATATACAACTTCCTCACTGATTTTAGTCTTCAGTAGGCTTTTCTATGGCTTTTCTATGGCTATGAACTTGCTGACCAAGCTGTATTTGTAGCATTTGTTATCACGGTCTTTTTTACCCCTCGCTGGACCTACCTGTAGGTGCCCATGAAGCCATCCGACACGGAGCACAGCTAAAGGAGGCCCAGTCGCCGTCCTGTCCGTCCAGAGAACAGAGAGTGATGCTGCCCGACGACACGTTACTCTCTCTTTATTCTGGAGCAAAGGCCAGGGAAGACTTGGAGGTTGCTGCCCGTGGAGTGTGGAAGGACACTGTGCTTGAGTCCCAGGACAGCTCTATCAGCTAAGGAGTGCCCCGTGTGTCTCAGCTGAGCAGGCCATTGAGACACTGGTGTGTTTTGAGAAGGATGCAGAAGTGGTAGTTATATAGTGATATAGAAACACAGGAACGTGTATTCTGCTCTTCTAATTAGCAGCTGTCACGCATATGAGAAGCTTGTGCTTGTCACTGCTTGTGATATTTGGGGATGTAGTTCATCCCGAGAAAGCAATGTAATTGTGTTCTTAGGAGAGGGAGTTTTATGGTAGCAGCTATGTTTAGGATCCGTAACGCAAACCAGTGCCTGGAGACAGCTCATGGAAAACTAAAAGAAGTGTTTATTAATTGGGATTTACAGCTGGCTTAGAAGAGCAATAACTGGTAAACTCGGGGTTTCTGGAGAAATTGCCATTGTTTGCTTTTGGTTGTTATTTTTCACTGCAAATATGCTGAAAATGTTGTACCAGTTCTCTGGTTTTTGGGAATTGAGCCCAGGATAGGCCCAAGACTACAGTTATAATGGTCTACAGAGGAGAACTGTATACACAACATAAACCAAGTACGCTCATTAGAAAACTTTATTTATTCTATTGCCAATAGTATATTCCAGTTCTATATTGGCTGTGTTAATACGGATGAAAAAAAAACAGAAGAAAACTAAAACTAAAACCCAGATGAACGACTACAGAAACTCTTAAACCCTTGAGACAGAGTGAGACATATGCAAAGCAGGATAATGGAGTTGCTGGAATGTGTGGTATATTGTTAGTGTTTTCGATCCTAGTATAAATACAAACAAGTAGTTACTGCAATGTTTTCTTATTAACATGTCTGATAATTTGAGAAGGCTCTTGCGGTGCTGACAAAACAGGCGCCCCAGGGTAGTTGGTATCCACAGCAGTTCTGACCTCAAAATTGGTTTTGGTGCCCTTGCTCATCTGAACGAAAAAGACCAATCAAGTTAACTTTGAATGGTGTTTGTCCAGTGACCTTGACCGAACAATTAGCTTTAGTACCAGTCCGGAATGGACTAAGTGCTTGTTCCTCCATGTGTATGGTTTTTTTGGGTCATTCAATGGAATTACTTAAGTATCATTTATTGGAAATGATCTGGTTTGTGCTGTTTTTCTGAGAACCATTTTGGATATTGGTAGAGGAAGAACAAATTCTTCCCTGAGGTGGTTTTATTCACAAATACAGTCCATATCAATCTTAGCCGTTACGGAAGAAAGCTGTAATGTGCTTAAGCTTGCCACGGTGTGAGCAGATGAGAACATATCTTTCCTGATTTAAGTCTTATAGCCCAAGGCCTAAAGGAGAAAAGGATCTTCCCTTCCCCCACGAACTGGATAGGGCTGGAAACCCAGAAGGGCTAGCCACTCTTCTGGCATCTGGCAGGGAGCAGGAGAAGCTGAATAAAAAGGTCCAATGGTCAGGATGAAACAGGTTTCATTTGTTCTGTGCGTTTACAGTGGAGTCTTCCCATTTCAGACTTCTGGGGACTGTATTCCTTGTTCAAGTGAACATTAAAATTCCTATTACTGAAAGCGGGTGCCAGTGCAAATACCTGTCCGCAGCTAGATTATTGATTTCCTCCCCCTGCCCAAAACTGTATTTTGGCATACAACAAAAGAAAAAAAAAAAAAACCAACTTCAAAATGTATGTAGCAAAATGCAAATCCTTGTAGCAGCAACAGTAGCAGAAGCACAAGGGGCCCCAACGGGTTTGCATTCAGCTAAGGAAGTCTGTCACATCAGTCA